GGGCTTGGGGCTGCTGGGGGAGCCTGGGGCCTGGCTGAGCGAGGGGCTGTGGCCGCGCAGCCCTGCAGAGCAGCACCGGGGAGCCCGCACCCCTCGTTGCTGCTGCCCCACGAGCATGAGGCCAGGTGAGAGTGGCAGCAGGGAGGACTGGTAGCTTGGCCTTGGCAGTGTGGGGGAACACGGGTGCCTTGAAAACCCCCCCAGGAACGCCAGCCTCCTTAGTGTTGGGGCTGCTTTGCTCTTCTGGCTGGGCAGACACCACAAAGTGCTCTGCGCATGCAGCATTGCTGACCGGGCTTTCCTTCCTCGCAGGGCTGGGTGCCTCTGGGTTTGGCTCGCAGGGCTGTGGAGGTGGAAGCGACTGGCTGAGCCCGGGATGCCGCGCTGGGTGAGTCTGGCTGACTGCAGCACACAATTTCAGCGCATTTAGACCTGGTGCTTGTATGCTTCTGCCTCTCAGGGTGTGGGGAGAGGGACCCCCAGGCTGCGCTAGGGTTGTCGCCCTTCTGGGTGTCCTCGCAGCTCTCTGTGCTGCCGCCCTGTGTCCGTGTACCTTTCTGTCCCAGCTGCAGGATGCTGTGGGCAGTTGTGCTCGTGGGGCAAACCTTTGTGGGGATCAGCACGTTGCCTTCTGGGCTTTATGAGCATTTTTTGCTGTCCTCCAGTCTTTTGAGGTAGTTGAAAGGGGCTGAGCAGTACATAAAGCTCTCACCTTGATCCTTAAACATTCTGCTTTTCTGATCTTGAACACTGGCTGTCCTGGTCCTCAAGCAATCTGCTTTTTTGGAGGAAAGTAAGTGCGGGGACTCCTTGCTTCTGTGAGTTTGTAGATCCAGCAAATAATTTTAGAAATGAATCTTGTGGCTTTGGGATTGCTCCTCAGATCTGCAGTTTCTGACTCTACTCTCGATCCCCCTGAGGCTGTAAGGAGTCAGGTGGCAAAGATTTTCCTGAAGTAGGGTGTGCTGAGAATCCCCTGAGGAGAGGCAGCTCTGCGTGCAGCCAGGCATGTGGGGGCACAGGAGTTTCCTTGCGTGTGGCCCGTTACCCTCTTTAGTCTCAGTACGGTGCGGGTATGGAGATCAAGAGTCATAAAAGAGTTGGGAGGCTGAATCTGCCTTGTCTGCACACCCGATACACGTGAGTTGGGTCTCAGGCTTCAGGGAAGAAGTTGAAAAAAGGAGAGGCTGGGGGTGATGTTGGTGGCTTCTCGCAGCAGGGAGGGCGGCTTGTTTTGGATGAGATGCGATCTTCTGTTAGCTTTTTTTTCTGTGGAAACACAGAGGTAGGGCAGCTGTCTGCTTGAACTAGGAGGGCTGGAAGAGCTGATCTTTTCTGTGCTGGATTGGGTATTTCAGAGGTAGTGAATATCTTGGGGAAACTGGGTGCCTGGGAAGTTTGCCCGTGACTTGCTTTCTTGTGGCCTCTCAGTGAACTTGTGGTAAACTGGGCCTAAGACTCCCTTTTCCTTCCCTGTCCTCTCCTGAGAGCAAAGGGAATGCGTTAACCTGGTGCTAATTGTTACTCTGACTGATAGCAGTAATGAGGGTCTGTAACCTGAGATCAAGTCTCTGCCACGTGGAGTGTTGTAAATGCTGCCGGGGGATCTCTCTGCTGAATACGCTGAGCTGGGATGCTGCGAGGAAGCGCTGGGATGCTCCGAAATGCGGCTGGCTTGTAGAAGGAGGTGAGTGTGTCTGGGCTCTGCAGGCTGAGGGTGTTCCCACTGAGCTAGGCTAACCGTGCCCTGAACACTGATTTATTTCGGAATTACACATCTGATCTGCTGGAGAGAGGGTGCTTCCTCACTGTCCCGCTGCCCAGCCTCTCCCGGGGAAGGGGTGCTGAGAGGAGGCACTGCCTGGGCGTCTGCTTCCCAGATGCTTTCGGTCTCCTGTGGGTCCCGCTGGGTACGGCAAGGTCACGCTCATTTGGAGCTGTTATTTATTAAAAGGAGTGTGCTGGGTGATGACCCTGTCTCTGTCCCTCCAGCTCCTGGTGACATCTGTGATGCAGCTGGTCTTCAGAGGTCACTCATGTCCCCTCGCTTAATGATCTGGTGTAGAAAGCCAGCTTTCGTTGCTTGCTTGAGTGTCAATGGGGCCTGAATATTAATGAAGCCTCGGTGGTCCTGTGGCACTGACTGTCACGGCCGTGGAGGGCTCATTTGGAGCGCGGGGATCTCCGTGATGGAGTGATAATAAAGTGTTCGTGAACTCTGCTCCGAGGCGCTGCTTGGGACTTTGAACTTGCAGGCTCCTGGCACAGCAGCGTGAGGCTGGCTTGGTGTTTTCTACGGCAGGCCCTTGCGCAGCGGTGTGAGGGTTAGCAGGGAAGGGACTCATGGGGACGTTGCGGGTGCTGCGGGTGCGGGAGAGTTTGGTTGCGACTTCAGGTGGCGAATGGACTGGTTAGTGGAGCTTAGCGTCCTCGGAGGCCCTGAGCTGGAGTCAGGGCAAGGGGCAGATGCAACGCAACATCTAAAATGGCCTCTTTGGGCTGCTGGTGCCAGCTGGGAATCTCCGTGAGGAATGGGGTGGTGGCTGTTCTGCATGTGCAAGAGAACAGCATCATTTTGAATCTGCGGGAAGGGGTTTTTTGCTGCGTTAATCCAGGCAAGTTGCTTCCAGTTTCTGCTATCCTGTGCAGAAAAGTCGGGGTAACGACTGGGGTCTGGTAAATAAAACAGTTGTCTTGGGGAAAGTGAGGCTTTTTACGTACTAACCTGGAATATACAACACGGTGCACGGTGCCTTTAAACAGGGCATATCTAGTATCTGGGCTTGAATAGCAGCAAAATTGCTCCCCAAAAGATTAATTTGGAGAGAGAACCCCAGATCTTGCTCTGAACCCTTATGTGTCTCCTGAAATGAGAGCCCGGGGTCAGGCCGTGTGGGGTAGATGGTTGGTGACTCTTGTTTCCTTATCTGTGGAGAAGAATCTGCTTCCCTCCTGGAGTGAAGCAGACCTGACTTGCCCTGCTTTCACTTGGAGCAGCGTTGTCTTCCCCTCCCACCTGGGATGTCACCTGGCCGTAGAGACTGCAGGGACTTCTCCTGGATCAGGGCCGTAGGATTTTGGCAGTGTCTGATTGCTGTAATGGAAATAATACATGCAGCCTCTCTCAAAACCTTCATATACCAGTGCCTGCAAGAATTGCCCCTTGCTGACCAGGTTCCCGCACCATGCTACATCGCTGTGCAGCCTCTTGCTCCGTGGAAGGACTGTTCTAAAGTCCTCTGATCTAAAGGACTGTTATCTTTCCTGTAGGTCCGGCCAGGTATGGCACAGCTGAGCTCATCCAGGTTTAAAAAAAAAAAAGTGAGCATTGTCTGTGTTCTCTGAGCTGTGGCCACTGCAGGCTGTCAGGTCTTCGCAGTGTAGAAAGCCTTCAGGGCCCAGCTTTGTGTTCTGTGAAGTTGCTCACCTCCTTCGGCAGGAGGGTTGGACTGGATGACCCACAGAGGTCCCTTCCAACCCCTACCATTGTGTGATTCTGTGATTATTTAACACTCAGGGGTGAAAGGCGAAGGGGGAGCCGATGGCTGCGTTA